GGTGTGTGCCCAGGCCCTGGCCATGGGGTGTCTTCTCTCTGAACCAATCTCCTTTTCTCTGCTCTGGGAGTTGCAGTCCTGCTATAAAACCAAGTGTGTTTGTGAATAAACTTGGCTCTTTCTTCCTGTCATGACAGACGCCCATGGAGCTGTGCACCTTATTTCCCCTGCATTTAAAGGGTTAAAACACACATCCAGCTGCTCCCCCAGGATCTGCCCTTGGAATTCGACAGCAAAGCCACCCCAGTGTCACAGGGGATGGGGACAGGTGATGGTTTTGGGCAGTCAGCAAGGCAATGCCTGAAGCCCAGGAACACAAATGGCCAAGGAGGAACCAAGAGGAGAAGGACAGGGACAGTGACAGTGACAGTGACAGTGACAGGGACAGCAAGAGGCTCCTGGGCTGTTTTTCCTCCTCCTGGCCAGATGCAATGTGGATGAGAAGAGGCTGCCACCATCCTTTCCCTGGCTGTGCCCATGTGGGGCCAGGCAGGCACAGAGCACAGTGAAAGCCTTCAGCACACACAGCCTGCAGAGAGAGCCAGCAGAGCTGCACTCACAGCGCCCAGATGTTCCCTGAAGGCTGTGGCCACAGCGCCCAGATGTTCACTGAAGGCTGTGGCCACAGCGCCCAGATGTTCACTGAAGGCTGTGGCCACACACAGCCAGTTCTGAGTGGAACCTGAGGCTCTCAGACAGATCAAAGAGCAGAGCTTCAAGACATAAAAATATCCCTCTCTTATCCACCTCAGGGAAAGACTGTCCCCCCAGGAGGAAGAGCTTTCACTGAAAAAAAATCCCACACTGAGAATTTAAGTTTTCTAAGAGCCTGTGAGAGATTTTGAACAGCTTTTGGAGCTTTCTGAACTCTGAAGTCTGCCTTAAGCTAGGTTTATGTTGCATAAACACTTGCTTTCAGATTTATTATTATTATGAAAGCTACAACAGGAGCATAATAAATGATTGTGGTATTAAAGCACATTTTACAGCATCATCTTGAGTGCTGCTTCCTTTAATGCTCTGCTTACATGACATGGAGGGATTTGCTCTGAAACTGTATTAGGATGGATGGATAGAACTCATAGAACAGCCCAGGACAGTTTTTTCCTCACATCTCTGAACAATTCTTAATATCCCCAACCCTGTAAACCTGAGTTTTGAAACACAGAGGTGTCAGTGCTGGCCTGCTGCTCGCTGGGAAGGGGTTTGGAATTGAGGCAATCTGTAAATAAAAACTGGCTCTGCTTCCACTCCTGTGGCCTTTGGAACACTCCCAGAGCCAGGGCACAGCCAGGGTTAGCAAGTGGCTGCAGAGCAGAAGAAGGTGGGAAAGAAAAGAATAAATTGGAGCTTGGGCTCCCAGCTCAAACTGTGCTGAGATGGATCCCTCCCGGCCCTGGCTGCCAGGTAATGCAGGAATTGTGTTTTGTATTCAAGCTGCAGATTAAATGAGCTGTCTAAAATCACTGTGACCCTCGGTGTTTACTGGAAAAAAAAATTTAAAACTTCAGCTTGAAGGACTGCTTCAAAATAATTAATCCTCTTGGAAGTACTAGGCAGAATTTTGGTGTCCAAAGGTAATACATTTCTTTTGATTCTTATTGTCTCCTGAGGTTTTTTTTTTGGGGGGGGGGTTGCTTTTTTTTTCCTAATAGGAAAATAAAATGCTATCTTCTACAAATACTATTCTGAAATGATGCAAGATACCCATAACGTACACTAATAATTCACACCATCAGATAACAAAGACTGAGGCTATGAAGCTTTTGGAACAAATGAGTTTTGGCTCCTAGTTAGTAAATGTTGCTGCAGACTGCCTGTTTCCCTCTGCTCCTCCCCACAGTTAATCTTCCTCTGATTGCTGTAATGTTCCCTATAGACAGACAAATTGTTTGGGTTAACTTACAGCATTTACATTAGTTTTTCATTTGTGACTGTTTCAATTAGCAATGCCATCTATTTCTGAAAGCTTTTTACTTTTAAATAATTAGGCTTTACCCAAGAGGTTAGCACCAAAAAAAAAAAAAAAAAAAAAAAGTATTTGAAATGCTAATCCACCACCTCAGACAAAACTGTTCCAGCAAATTTTAAATCCTGTTGCTTCTTAACTCTATTGTAAAACACAATAGTGTCCACAGCATACTGATAACCCGTGTGCAGCACAAAGGATGGGGGCAATGCATTCCATGAGATGGGGATGAAATGGAAAAGCTGCCAGAGCCTGGCATTGGGCACAGCGATTTAATGAGCACAATAATGGGCAGGTGGGCTGAGCACTCCTGCCGACATCAGCAGAACCTGCCCTTTGAAGCTGCTCCTCGACATCAGCTGTACACAGGGCCAGGCTGGGAATTACTGACTAAAAATGTCTTTTCATGTTCCCTTTGTCAGCCAGGCCTTTACAGCCCTGTCACTAACACACACACTGACATATATATATATATATATATATTTATATATATATATATATATTTATATTTCATGCCACAGCAACTGGATTTCCTTTGGGAACACATTTCTTTTTCTAACTACATTCAAATCCGGAAAAGAGGAAGAAATCTGTTGCTTTGGTGCAAACCATGCCTCATCTCTGGATTTAGTGCTTTTGCTCTTTTTCTTCTTATATTTGATGCACTTGGACCTAAACCATCAGAACACATGCTCAGCCTAAAGAGCTGGAAACGCTGAAAAAATGTGCTGAAATCGGGCAGCTGTGTTAAATCTTCACTCTGTGCCACGGGCCTGGTGGCTACCCTGCCTCTTGCCAAAATGCAATTAAGGAGTTCCAGTTCCTGGCTCACTGACTGGGATGGCAGCAGGGCTGTGGGTTACCCCTCAAAACTCCCCAAAAAGCCACCAGGACGTGCAGGTGCCACTTGGAAAGGCTGGCCTGGGAAGCAGATGGAGACACAGCAGTGCCTGGGAAATTTCCCTGCTCCTGAACCTACAGGAAGTTTTCTTTCCATGCAGTGAAAGCAGCCAGGGAGGTTTTATCTCCTCCACTGCACTGCTCTTGCAGAGCACAGGGGCTGGACCCTGTCTTGCATCTAGAAAACAAACTGGAAAATAGGCAGAGAAAGAGAGGTTTATCAATAACTATAGCTATTTTCTGCAGTCAGGATATATTTGTGATTGTTATTGGTTTTCTCTCCCTGGAAACAGGTGATGGATGGAGAACTACTCCTAAATTCAAAGACATGCTGGAAGTTCACTCTGAATGCTGCTACCACCCATATTCTGCAGAATCGAGCTGCAAACTCTGCTCTTGGGTACCTAAAAAGCCCCACAGTGCCTTTATTCCATGGGGCAGGAGTGATTCCTTTGGTGGGAATGCTCAGTGCAGACCCAGGGAGTGCTCAGGGCACTGCCTTGCACTCCTCTGAGAGAAAACTGCTCAGCTTTTCACCCTGGAAACGTCCAGCCTCTTTTAAAGGAGTGTTTTGCCAGAAGAACAGTCTATTCTGCTGTCATCACACAGAACTATTTGGGTTTTATCTCCCTCTGCACACCTGGCACGCCTTCATCACATCCCACTTATTTTTACAGCGTTCCACACAGAGGTTACTGCTGTAAAAAGGTGCTCCCAATAGAGAGCAAAGCAAAACTATAATCACAACACAGCCTCTCTTCTTCACAGGGGTTATTATTGTTTCAATTTTGCAGGTGCTGAATGCCTGTCCACGGGGGATGCATAAGAACCGAAAAACAAGAGCAGAACACTTGACTTCCACGCACATTTAAGAGCCAGGTTGCTGCTTTTGCAACCAGAACAAAAAAAAAAAAAAAAAAAAATCAGGTACCAAGGAGCCACTTGGGAAAAGAGGGAGATTCCAGAGATCTGCTGGGT